TCAGATATCATCAAGCATAAAACTCCAGATATTTCTACATTCATTAAGAACTCTTGAATTCTTGCCCTGGCCCGTCACTGCACCTGTTGACTAGAGATTCTGACTGCCACAGAAGAAATAATTCACACAATGTAACTTAGAAGCCATAAGGTGATGTTGAAGTCCCACTGGAAGTAAACCTTTCATGCCCCTCTATTTAGGTGTTAGGTCATGACCCAATTATTTACACACTGTGCAATCTAAGGGCCATAAGGATGGGTGATTGGTATTTGGTACTGAAGCATGGTCTCTTGGCTCCTAATTCTAAAAAGAGATTAAGTGAAAGGTTAATTGGGTACTAAACAGGTCCTTATGACAAACAGGATTGCAGTTTTTAGCAAACAGGCATCCTTTATAAACACAGCCTAAATTGCTAATATGAAGGTCCTTTGTGATTTACATCAGGGGAAAGAGCTTAAGTAACCATGTAATTAGGAATACTTTACCAACCAGTTTCTTAGAAGCTCACTTTAAAATCTTCCAACTTAACTCAGCAGATTTGCTAACCATAATTTTATAATTTGAACACCTGACTTTCCAAAATGACTATGACAGTATACAACAAACAGCAATGCCCTAGACCAACAGACAGCCCAGCTCACGTGACCCCACAGATACAGAACAGTACTAAGGCCTGCAAAACATAATTACACAATGAGCCATGGCTTTCTACTTCCTGTTAAAAGATACATTCCTCTGAAAGGCTCAATCACAGATATTTCAACATGAAGACAAAGATTCATCCACGTATTAAAAAGACAACTCACATTACAAGTTGAAAATCTGGTCTTTTGGCTCCTGACTGGCTAAATGTGCTTGTTTTTTGTTTTTTCTCTTTAGGGCAGAAACAATCAGGTAATAAGTGCTGGACAAGATCCTTAATGCACCATCAAAGAAAACCCATAGAGAGAGAAAAAACTAATTAAAAGGCTTACTTTCTATCTAAAAAAAGCCCTCATTTTATCTTTATTCCTAAATGACTTACATTTAAATGTCCTCCACTTTAGAATTAATTTGATTGTTTTAATGTTTTGCACTAAAATAAACTGAAACAAAGTCAACTTATTCAGTGAAGACAAAAAAACGACTTTCACCCACTTCGCTGCCAGGTAACTGACACAGGTCTAAGTCAGTCTGCTGATTTATCCTTTTAAGAAAGAGAAGGAAAGGATATTAAATTCCATTCTAAATATGAAAGATACTGATGAGGAGTTCAAGTTAAAAGATGCAAAACAGACATAACATAAACAAAATACAAAGATAATATAAACTAAACAATGTCAACGATGCTGTGGGACTTAAGCGGAGACCATTGGCAGCCAGACAGCCACTGGATCTCCCTTCCTGAAAGACAGAGGAAGGAGGAGAATAAACTGGAGCTGAGAAGATAGGCACCTGCTGCTAGCTTCTTCCCAAAGGAAAGGCTACAAAGCCTGGAGGAATGTTCTAAAACAGACCCGCAAAATAAGAACTGCCTACAACTGTCAAATATTCTACTGCTCTTCACTCTAAGGATGAGATGTGCTTTCACAAATGTGTATGTATACATACCCCTTGAGAATACCTTCAAACACAAAGAAGTCTCCCTTTCTAGTTCCCTCAGTCACAATAAAGAGTAGAAAACATTTAGTAGCATTCTAGATAATTTGTGCCAATTTAGATGATTCACATATGGCTTCCCCAGACTAAATGGTCTATGGCCAGAGCTTTTAAGTCAACAAGGGTGCGGAAAGCAAGACCTAATTACAGATCTGAGTCACTGTCTAGAAGTTCCCTCGGCCCAGTGGAGCATCCCCCACAAAGGCACTGTTTCATTTTGAGGCATAAAAACAAGCCAAGTATACAGACTCCTTTACATAAGAAATAAATAAGAAGACATCCTTCTACAAGAAACAAAAACATCAGTTCACTGAACGGATGTCAACCACAGGTTTTTTTTCCTTTTTTCCTTAAGAAACAATTGTAAAAGTTTTTTTAAACAAGAAAATGGATATAAAATATATTACAGGACTGTAGCTTAAATATCTTGCATTTCCTGTCTATATTTGGCCTGCTATACAAATGGCATTCCATTTGAAGGCTGGTCATCTCTCAATTGAAGAGATTTACTAGCTCTTTTCCTAGGGGCCTCACTGATTGTTTCCATTTGAAGGCTATAATCTTCTAGCATTGGCAACATTTTAATTCAGAATTAGGCCCACAAATCAGGAAATAAGCTAAAGACAGTTACGTTTAAATAAAATTAAAATAAGGATCCATTTTTTAACAACCAAAAAATACATGCACAAAGCACAAAAGCATAAAATTGGATTTCTACAAAAGAGGTCATTGTTTCCCTTTCTGTAGTGAGAATACAATCTATATGAATTAAGGGGGAAAAAACCTTTTCAGTTTACTTTTTTGTTCAGGGAAAGAAAATGGAAATCCTCTTCTGATTGTCATAAATCTTTCTCTGAGATTTTATCAGTAACTAGCTACCAAGTTGAAAGGATTAATGTTCTCTGAGGGGCAATGGCTATTCAGTCCTGTGGAAGCAATATCCCCAACAAGAACCAAGGGTGAAGAATGGGCTTTTTGAATGCAGAAGTTAAATGACCTGAGAAATGTTTCAGACAAGGATGATACAAAATCATCTCCAAGACTCATGCAGGCGGGTGCGTTATTAAGTCGCTTCAGTCATGTCCAACTCTTTGCGACCCCATGGACTATAGCCCACCAGGCTCCTCTGTCCATGGGATTCTCCAGGCAAGAGTACTGGAGTGGGTTGCCATGTGCTCCTCCAGGGTATCTTTCTGACACAGTATGAACCCACCAGGCCTCCTGCGTCTCCTGCACTGGCAGGCAGATTCTTTACAACTTGAACTGCCTGGGAAGCCCACCAAGACTCATGCTGGGGCACAATGGGAAATAATGTGATACCCTGCTTCATAACCCAACTCCTTCTCCGTAACTGCTGCCACCCCGTACAAGGTGGAAACTGACGAGCTGACAAACTTAGAAAGCAGAGAAGTCAATTTTGTCAGGAAGATGGCTAATTGTCAGAGTGCAGAAGAATGCAAAAATTTACCCAAGTTTGCAAAAAGCATACATTCTGACCACAGGATGAATGGCGGAATTTAAATGAAAAAGTAACCTACACAATGACTCAGTAGGGCCTGCACTACTGCCAAACTGTTAAAGGAGTGCAGGCACGGGTGTAGATAGTGAACTCAACAGCAGAACAAGCATGAGACTCGAGAAGATAAGCATGTTGATTAAACTCATCAGCCATTTAAAATCAAATACATTTTGGGGCATGCCCCAGGAGGTCCAGATGTTAGGGCTCTGTGCTTCCACTGCAGGGGCATGGGTTCAAACCCTGGTCAGGAAATTAAGGCCCCACATACCGCATGATGGGGCCAAAATAAATAATTAAATAAAAATCTAATGCATTTCATTATGGATCACCAAGATGCCTCGTAACAGATCTTTGCACAAGTGTCTAAGAATGCATTTATAGCTTCTTTCTGTGATCCTGAATTTCTTCTCAACTTCTTTGTGATTTTCAACAACACACACACAGTATCTAGATATACCTGAAGTGAAAAAGCATACAAAAATCATCCTATCTATATGTGGTAAAAGCACAAACAAATGCAAGGGAAGAATAAAAATGTAACCCCGGAAAGTAGTTCTTCGAAGGTGGAGAAAGGGCACTGCTATGAGAGAGGATGATCATACGGTTTTAAATGTTCCATGGAATTGGTAAACATTCTATTTGCCTAGAGTGTTGTGGGAGGACATATATAAATATCTGTTATATCATCCTTTAAAGAGTTCTTATATTTGAGATTCACAGTAATTTTTGAAGAAGAAAAGCAAGCAATTAGAAATCTGAATATAGACTATTCTAAGAAAACACCAGGGACAGCGCCATGCTGGCAAACACACACCTATACAAAGCGATGGTTTTCTGGCCAGTAGTCCATGACCCTTTACAGTGTTCACAGCCCAAATGGTTTGATTAAAAGGGAAAACCTCCAGGGAAAGAAAAGAGAAAATCTGAAAGCAGTGCATTTCACTCTCATGGATACGAAACCACTACCTGTGAACTGTTCAGAGGGAAGAGGGTGCCAGTCAACACCAACACACCCTGCCAGTCGAGTTTGATGGCATTATTTTGCCTCCCTTTGCAATTACTCCCACATTTCGCAAGGAGAAACTAATGGACTACTAAAAATAAAATGGAGATGAAGTGAATCACTTAGGATATTTTGGCTCCCAACTCAAACTGGCTTAAACAAAAAGGAAATGTTGCTGGCTCAAATGCTTGAACTCCTGGAGGAGAAACAGGCTTCAGGGCTGCTTTCTCTGTGTTCCACCCTGTGTGACTTCTGGCTCAGCCTGGAGCCACACCAGACCTCACACCAGCACATAACAACATCCAGAAAAGACAGAAAGAGGCAGGCGCTTCCGGTAGCTGTGTTTTAAGTATGAGAAGACTTCTGCCAGAAGCACTTGGCAAACTTACTCTAGAGTCTCCTTGGCTAGAGCCAGATTACAGGACCATTGCTGAAGCCAGCCCTCTGCCCAGTTAATGCCCAGCATTTCTTCCCAAGGAGTGAATCATGCATGGGCATAGCAGCGATGGGCTGGCTCGTAATCAGGGCCCACCCTGGAGCTGGTCAGTTCCTCAACCCCAAATATGGGTGGTAGATGGGATGCATAATATGGACTCAATTCTAATATCCGATGGCTAATATTAGCCAATCATTCTGTGTTTAGCAGAAGATTAACATATCATAATCATGATGTATTTGTACATATATAAAAACTGGAGACATAAAAATCAGATGACCAAATGAAAAGGTAAAGTTTTTAAAAACTTCTTTCAATACTCCCACTGCCCCAATGAGAAACTTAAAAGACAGTCAAAATTTTATAAAGCATGTAGGTCATAGGAAGCATGGTACAATACTTACTATATTCTTGTGCCATAGCTACAGAAATTTGGACAACAGCATCCACATTAACAATATATAACCTAAACAAAAGGGAAAAGAAAAAATAGTTAAGTACACAAGAAATTTCATTAAAAATAGTTACATAACTTTGACAAAAGTCTTATATTTTTTTTTCTGGAAAGAAGTAAACCAGCCTTTTAAAAAGTAAATACCTGAACTTAGAAAAAAATCTGTGGTATTAGAATTCCTCTAAGTATCTTCAAGTTAAAACTATCTGCATCTTTTGTAGATCTTAACACCAGCAAACAAATGCATTTTAAACTAACCTGCCCTGGACTGCTACTTGTAACACTGAAACAAAAGCAACTATTAAACAAACCTCAAAAATCATGCTGTCTAAGGCCTACAACACACATCCAATCTACCCAGTCCAATGTAACTTAAAGCTAGATAAACCAGCTTCAATTTCTACACTCAGGGATCTAACAAAGTGGTTTTTGCGGGGGCGGGGGGAGGGGTGGTAAATGCACGTATCCATTCAGATATCTGACACTGCTAAAGAAACACAGTCACGGAATTGGGGACTTTAAGACCCTATAATGTCTTTTAGTATTCAAAAATGAAAGGTAAGAAATTTGTCCCTATCCAGACCTCAGGGCAAGTAACAATATAGCAAGTCACATTCAATTCAGAAGGGCTTTAAAAACATAAAACTCTAACGATGCTGTGGTTTTTCCTGGGGATGATGTGCCTTGACAAAGCTGTGGCTATCTATCCTCTCATCTATCTACAACACCATGCCTAATTTCACTTGTCTCAGTTTATATAAGATTCTGCCATGTTGCTAGCATTAGTTATGGTTTGTAGAAGAACCCCCTCATGCATCACAGAACTGATGTTTCTGAATCATGATGTTGGAGAAGACTTTTGAGAGTCATTTGATGTTGACGTTTTTATGTGAATGGGGATCCCACAGAAAATGAAAACCTAAAGAGGCAGTATATACCATTTTAACAAAGGGTAATAAATAGTGAAGAAGTGACTACACAAAGGAAAAAGGGGGTTAGACGCCTAAGAATGGTAAGTTGTGGGAAGGTGACTAGGAAATGTATGGTGGATAAATCTTGTTTAGTAAGATTTGTTGCACAGGCTCAAGTGTCTGGAGTTAGAAGAATCATTCTCTTCTCCCTGGTATGGGAGATGGGTGCACCTTCACAAATGGAAATTCATGCCCTGCATTCACAAATGAGGAGGACAAAGAGCTCTTCTTGTATCTGCTGTATCTTGACTTCCTTCAGTCTCAAAATTATTTTAAAGACAGAGGCATATTTTGGGGTGACATATTCCAATCCCCTTCAGGTTCATTAAAATACAACAAAAGCATTATTATAAGAATCAGAAAGGAAGATATTTGCTGAATATATGCATTAAATACATATAAGACTCATTTAGAATATATACAAACTCCAACAAAATAAGAAAATGATGTGTGTGCTAATAAGTAGCTTCAGTCGTGTCCCAGCTCTTTGCGACCCTATGGACCATAGGGTCCATAGCCTACCAGGCTTCTTTGCCATAGGATTCTCCAGGCAAGAATACTAGAGTGGAGTGTCATGGGATCTTCCTGACCTGGGGATTGAACCCACATGTCTTATGTCTCCTGCATTGGCAAGCAGGTTCTTTACCACTAGTGCCACCTGGGAAGCCCAAGAAAAAGATTACCTAAAAAGAATATAAAAAAATGGCCAATAAGCATATGAAGAGGTGTTTGACATCATTCATTACCACAGAAATACAAATTAAAACTACAATGAGATAAAATTACATATTGATCCAAATGGCTAATATGCAAATAACAGACAACACCAAGTCTTAGGCTATAGAGCAGTTCAACTCTCATGAGCTACTTGTGTGAACTGGAAAACTGTTTAGCAATATCTAATAAAGCAGAATATAAACTGTGGCCCAGCAATTTCACTTCTAGGGAAATATTTACTAAGAATGCACATACATAGGTCCTAAAGACACAGATTTTCAACAAAGCCTTACTTGTAATGCCAAAACTCAGTAGCAACTTGTGGACCATTCATATAATGTATACTATATACAGCAGGGATCAGTCAATTTTTCCCTGCAAAGGATCAGACGGTAAATATTTTAGGGTTTGCAGGCCATATGGTCTCTGCTTCCTGTTACAACTACTCAATTCTGCCTTTGGAGTAGAAAAGTAGCCATAGATAGTATGTAAATGAAGTGGTGTGGCTGTGTTCAATAAAACTATTTACAAAAACAGACAGTTTGCATTCTATACAGTAATGAACATAAAATAACTATAACTAATGCAATAACACAGATGAATCTCACAAACATAATATTAAAACAAAGAAGCCAGATATATGAGGGAGTATACTACACTACTCTATCTTTAAAAGTTCAAAAGTAGGTAAAACTATATAAATCAGAATAGTAGTTACCTTTTGGAGGGGGCAGTAAGCCTGGCGGGGAAGGAGTAAGGGGAAATTCTGGCAGTCTAGCAGTACTGGACTCTCTGGGTTGAATGGTGGTTTTCCAGTTATACTCAATTAGGAAAACTCATCAAAGTGCTCATTTATAATGCATTCATCTTTTATATGTATTATACCTGAATTAAAAGTGAAATATTTTAATTTTCTTTTATAAAGCATATATGTCAGTAAAGTGAATGCTTTCTCACAGCTCACTTGCCCAGGACATCAAACACTCTGGGTACAGTAGTTAACCTTGCACTCTCACTAATACAGCCTGAAACAATACCCTTTGGTTTAGTGTGATGTCTGGCTCAGTGTAAAGAATCTGCCTGCCAATGCAGGAGATGCAAGAGACTCGGGTTTGATCCCTGAGTCAGGAAGATTCAATCCCCTGGAGTACAAAATGGCAACCCACTCCAGTATTCTTGCCTGGAAAATTCCATGGACAGAGGAGCCTGGTGGACTACAGTCCATGGGGTGGCAAAGAGTTGGACACAATTGAGCACGCACCTTTAACTTTTTTCTTTTTTTCTGAACTACATTACAACTAAAACTCTGTTTTGAGTCCCAGGCAGAACTCTGGAGAATGAACTATGATTAAATAGAACACACACGAGTGGCAGAAGAGAATGCAAAACAGAGGGAGAGAGGAAAGTAACAGATGGTGGATCAAGACACTGATGGAAATAAGCCCCTACATTTTAACATAATCTGTTGAATAATCTATACAGAATAGAAAGTAAAGGCAGCAGCTTAGAAACACAATTTGGAAAGTTATTGAACTGGTACTTTTGACAAAAATAATGACATTTTAAAAGCTGACCAGGGCTCTTAAAAGACTGTTAAAAGGATTTTGTGTCCAGCATAACAATTTACTCCAATCTAATAGGTTAAAGGGGCAGAAAGTTTCAGATTTTTCAAGTGAAGAGGCAGATAATACAGTCTTGCACTTTTTAGGTCTGCATATTTTTAAACAATTTCTGTACCTTGATTTCATACTACCCCCCTACACTGTGTTGGAAAATGTAATTAGATATTGTTGACTTCCCAGCAATCACAGGAAGCCATTAAATTACTAAGGTTTTGCCCAAATACATGACGAGAGGCAGAGAATACAAAAATGCCATAGATAACAAGATCATGGGCACCACATTCTATTAATACAGGATTATATCATGAGTGAAATAAAGAGTAAAGAAAAAATGAAGAGAACTGAAATCCACTCACTGTACTATATTCACTGTATAATTGATATGTGAACGAAAATGAGTGAAGTGAAAGTAACTCAGTCATGTCTGACTCTTTGCAACCCCATGAACTATACAGTCCATGGAATTGTCCAGGCCAGAATACTGGAGTGGGTAGCCTTTCCCTTCTCCAGGCATTGCAGGCAGATTCTTTACTAGCTGAGTCCAAGAGGAGCCCAAGAATATTGGGGTGGGTAGCTCACCCCTTCTCCAGTGGATCATCCTAACCCAGGAATTGAACTAGGATCATCTGCATCACAGATGAATTCTTTACCAACTGAGCTAGCTGTTAGGGAAGCCCTATGATTCTTTACCATTCTTTGCATTGCAGGCAGATTCTTTACCAACCGAGCTATCAGGGAAGAAAACAAACTAGATGCTAAAAATCCAAAGACAAAGTTCCTGTCTGTAAGGAGCTCAGTTACAAAAAAGATGAAAAGCCTATACATCAATAATTTAAATCAAATGTCACAAAAGTATCACAATATTTACAAGTGCCATGACTTAACAGAAGAGAATTATTAAATGTAGGAGAGGTGAAATGAAAATAGAAGAGGAAGCTGAGGAAAATAAGTCTTTATATATCAGGGAAAAACTAAAATAACTGAGTTTTGAACAATTAAAAACGGGCAAGACAAGAAGAGGACTAGAGCATCCTTCCAGGCAGGGAGCTAGAATATGCAGAGGCATGAATGAGCCAGTAATTCTTGAGAAACATCAGGAAATCTGATGCTGCCAGAATGTGATGTAGAAGGACAAGCTAAGACTGAGATGATGGAGGAACTTTTCAATTACACTATGAACATAGAGTAACTAATTTTATCTTACAGGCATTATGGAGCCATCAAGGTGGGAACTGGGGGAATGAGAACGGAATAGAAAGAATGGTGGGGGGGTGGGTGGTAACAGGTCCCTGGATATGTCTTTTTGCATACTTTTGATGTTTGTAACAACACTAATGTTAAACAAAACAAAAAGGTAAATAATCAAAATCAAACAGTATGTGAAGGTAACTCAAAATGAAACACAATCACTAATAAGTGAACTGCATTACAAAGGTATAAGTAACCACACTAAGGGAGTACAGAAGAATTAACCTAACCATTCTGGAAACTGGTATCCTGACTATATACTCTGAGACTAGAGATAAAATAAAGAAAGAAAGGGGAAAGGTCAGAATGAACTGTATAGTGTCAGACTGGAATCAGAGATATCATGGTTTTAAATAGACATTTCAACAGATAATAAATATTGATAGAGTGTAAATACAGTAAGAACTTCAACAAAGAGAAAATACAAAAAAGAACCAATCAGAAATGAAGAATA